ATAACGAACAATACTCACCCTTGGCGCTGGTATCTGTTGACAAATGCCGATCCGGCGAACAAAGAGTGACCTTAAAAGTTTTCAACTTTTTCATTTCATACCTCATGCTTCTTTTATACCTTAATCGGCTGTCCCTGTAGCACGCTTTTGAAAAGAATACCAGAAATTTGATCAATATGGCAAATGCACGGTATTGACATACAATAATATTTGAAGCCAACAGGTAAGTATTTTGATAAATCATGGTATATTAAGTTTGCAAATTAAAGGGATATTCATATATTTACACCTTGATAATCTGCGGTATATACATTTTACAAATAACAGGGAAATATAACAGTCTGAATTTAAAAACTTCAACAGAAATGCTGGCCATTAACTTTCCATAAATCTATCTTTTTTGGAACATATGAATAGCCAAAGGTCTCACTTTTATCCAAAGCCTATGGAGACAAGAACAAAAAAACATTTTTAAATGGGTCGCCCTCAAATGATGTTGAAGAGAACGCGACGTATGTTTCCTCAGATAAATGGAAAGTATATTAAAGAACTGGTTATTGAAGCTGACGGACAGCCAGGTCACACCCTCCATTTATGATGACAAATTCCTGTCTTTTCGTTGTATATGTTATATTTACGATAGCGAGACTGGTATAAGGAGAGCGTCCATCTTCTTGGAAAATTCTCTCCAAATTCCCCATCTTACGAAACGGAACGTAATGTTCTATTTTGAGCAATGCCGTCCTTCCAACCAATCAGTGTTCTTCTTTCTGTTGACGTCACTGTAGCATGATCGAAGGAGAGCGGTCCAGGTGAGAGCCCGCAGATGCCGTAGCAGTAGTCAGAAGGCATTTACTCGAGAACCAAGGCAAACGGTAACGGATGTCAGAGAATTATAAATAAAAGAAATGCTCATTATTACCATGGACAAAAGGAGATGCTATGAGCGGTAGGTCGGTAAGTAACAGTGGTATGTGTTTTAGATAAGAACGCTCAGAAGTTTTATTAGACACAGTGACAACTGAATTCATCTTCCAGTTGCTGAGGAATCTACTATCAATTTGAAGACAAAAAAGATCATTGGTTTATTCAAAATATTATGAAGTGGCAAAATTACATGGTAATATTCCTTTGAGAAATTTTATAATGTTAGTTTCAATGGCCACAGTTATACATACGACATTATAATGACGCAGTTTTATGCCACTGCTTATAAGCAAATTATGAACATTTACTGGGTGTTTATAACGGTATGAAATAAAAAAGAATAAGAGGTTCCAAATGACACTATCGGTCTGCGTTGATAGACCCCACCCTAGTTGCCGAATTTGGGACTCTCGTTGAGAATGCAATCAAATCAACTGAATGACACGCTTTCTCGAGCATGTAGGAAGTAAATTACTTTCGTTCGTTCGGCTTTGTTTGGATGCGTTCAGTGTGTCCACTTAGCTCCGTCGTTAACTCAGTATTTTCCAATACTTTTTATGGCAGGGAAATTTTCGTGTTACTAGTTCCTGTTAAAAACTTGCTTAATGCAGTATTTGTCTATTAACAGCCAACGATTTAGATAGTTTATCGGTTCTTTCACGAGAAAAAAATTAGAGTTAAGGTTACATAGCATCTACTAGGCAGGTGAATTATTTATATAATATTATTTAGGAGTTTCCTTTTGTATAACGTCATCATGTGACCGATATATAACTTGCTTAAAAATAATTAATTTGCTTGTCCCGTTTAAGTGTTGTTATTCCATTATCAAGGTCGGTTTATTCGTGATTATATGGTTGGATGAAGATCAAATGTAAATGTGTTTAACGTTAAAATATATACCTTTTGTCTTGTAATATTCCGCGGCAATATGGCTAATTCAACCTTTTGATTGTTATTATATTTATTATTATTATTATTATTATTATTATTATTATTATTATTATTTGCTTTTATAAAACTTATTACGATCTGAACGTCGCCGCCATTCAAAAGGCTTAGACGCATAAACCGTAGCTAACACCTACCCTGCATTAAAAACGGTTTCTGTTTACAGACGCATACCAGACCAACAAAGCCCGACCTGAACGTTTTCTTTGGCCGAAGGAGAGACACAATATAAGGTTCTGAATGCTACAGGTAAAAAGCCCTTTATTAAATAGCACTGGGGTTGTTTGCGTTACCCTTGCAGCTGGGTGAGCTGGAGGAATATGCACTAGCTGTTTTGTGTACATTTGTGTCTCTAAAACAACTTCAACTTGTGTTTTGCTATGAAACATGTGGCTCTAAAATAACAAAAACATCCGCCTTAATTCAATTGAGATTTGTAAGTCAGAGAAGTATTTCATCAGCTGTGTTATGTTATATAAATCATGCAATTTGTCTTAGTCCACAGCTAATATTGAGACAGTTTTTCTCCAATATTCCGATGTCTAGCAGAACATCTTCATCTGGGAAGGGGGCTATCCGGGTAAATAGCTTCTTTTTATGATATATACTCCTCCCCCCCCCCCTCCCCCCCCCTCCTCCCCCACCCCTCCCC